CCGCGCGAAGCCCCCCCTGCGCCGCCTCCGAGGGACGAGCGAGAGAGAGGACGAGAGCAGCTCCTTCTCGTCGCCGCCGGGCCCTATTTCCTCCCTTTTTTCCTCCTTTTCCATGAATTCTCTTACGGTGAGGAGATATAGGGGATGGGAGATGGGAGAGGAGAAGTGAGGGAAGAAAGAGTGAAGGGGAATTAAGAGAAAGGAAGGAAAGGGAGAGAGAGAATAAGTGAAAACATCTTAGGCCATTTTTTTGTTTTTTTATTTTTCTATTTATTATTATTTATGTTTATTATTGTTTTTTTTTATTCTGGGGGGGGGGGAGTGTTTGTGGAAGAAAATATCCTTGCTTTCTGCGTCTAGTTTGGAAATTCAAGAAGAAGAAGAGGAAGAAGAAGAAGAAAAAGAAAAAAAAAAAGGGAAAAACAACAACGAAGTGTTTTTGTTTATTTCACGTTATTTGTTGTTTTTTGGTTTTATTTTTGTTGTTCTTCTGTGCCGTTTATTTATTTATTGAAGAAGAAGAAGAAGAAGAAGAAAAAGAAAACAACAACGAAGTGTTTTTGTTTATATTTCACGTTGTTTTTTTTTGGTTTATTTTTGTAGTTTTATTGTTTATTTATTTTATTTTGTTTTGTTTTGTTCATTTTCTTTTCTTCTTGTTGTGTTTGTGAACTGTTTCGTCTTTTTTTTTTGATTATCTGTTTTTTTGTTTTCTCTTTCTCTCTCTCTTCCTTCCTTTTGCCTTTAATTACCGTTTTTACATTTAATTTATGAATAGTATAATTTAATTAAAATAAGCTAATTCAATTTAAATTATATGTTTTGTTTTCTCTCTCTTTCTCTCCCTTTCCTTTCTTTGCCTTTAAATACCGTTTTTATATTTAATTTTTTTTTTTTCATGATTTTTTTTTTTCCTAGTTTATGGCGACCGTTTATTTTTCATTTTATGGCATTGTTTTGTCTATGGCAATTCTATTCACTTTCTCTTATGGCAATCCTTCATTTTATATATTTTTATACCTTTATTTTTCATCTATGGCAAGTTTTTTTGCACAGTGGCTTGTTTTGTTTAATTTTTTACTTGTCTCTTTCTTGTTTAAATTCTGTTAGTTCTTTGGTGACGTGTTTGTTAAAGAATTCCAGGAATAAGTGAATATTATCATTATTATTGTTTTATTGTTGTGGATTTGTCAATATTTTATCTTATCAAGAGACAGTTGATTCGGCAGAGGTCTTGCAGTGTTGTTGGATGGGGGGGGGGGGGGTTTATTGGGTGTAGACGGTGTGATTTATTTTTGAGGTTGTAGTTTTGTTTTTTTGTGTTATTATTTTTGATTTTTCTCTTTTTCTTTTTTTCGTTTTTTCGTTTTTTCGTTTTTTCGTTTTTTCTTTTTCTTTTTCTTTTTCTTTTTCTTTTCCTTTTCCTTTTCCTTTTCCTTTTCCTTTTCCTTTTCCTTTTCCTTTTCCTTTTCCTTTTCCTTTTCCTTTTCCTTTTCCTTTTCCTTTTCCTTTTCCTTTTCCTTTTCCTTTTCCTTTTCCTTTTCCTTTTCCTTTTCCTTTTTTCTTTTTTCTTTTTCTCTCTCTCTCTCTCTCTCTCTCTCTCTCTCTCTCTCTCTCTCTCTCTCTCTCTCTCTCTCTCTCTCTCTCTCTCTCTCTCTCTCTCTCTCATCATGCATATATGTTTATAAGAATTCCAGAAAGTAATAATGATTTTTTTTGCTTTAGTCAATATTTTATCTTATCAGAATCTGTTGATTTAACAGAGGTCTTGCAGTGTTATAGAATGTAGGATTTTTATTTTGATGTAGACGGTGTGAGTCATTTTCAAGGTTTTAGTTTTGGTTTATTTTGGTTTTCTTTTTTTCTTACCTCTCTCTCTCTCTCTCATAGTTGCATTTAGGAAATCCATATGTCTCAGTATCACCATCTATGTCTGGTGTATGATGTGATTTAAATAGATTATCATTTAAGTGAAAAACAGTCTCGGCCTTGCTGAAAGATGCATAGGATTTTCAGCTCTAATGGAAAGGCAGATGGAATGCACTCAGTATTTGGTTCTTGCCTTGTTTGATATTTCCCCCCCCCTAATTATCTTTATTGTTTTATTTATTTATTTAATTTTTTAATGAATTCAGAAAGCTAAGGAAATTTCTCTTTATAAGGGTACTATTAAAGGTAAAATCCAGCTGTTGACAGTGATGTGCCTCTCATATTCGGGTGTGGTATACAGGTACTGCTTCATGTACGTGTTCTGTACAAGTTTTAGATAAGATTAACTTATCTTTTTTCCAAGTCATTTTTGTAGTTTGGTGGCATTCGTGAGGACTGGATCGTAAGTCCTGATAATACGAGATACACCTTTGCTGAGGCTTAAGTTTCCAACTTTTATGATTAGAGATCTATTGTTTTGTATCATTAATTTCTTGGAATGCCTAGAAGGAAAGTAGTAATTCTTGTAGCCTGAATTAAGTTTGGTTTTACGTCATAGCACTTATATTTATCATCATAACACTTACATTGTATAAGAAAAATGATATAGATTGTACCTCTGGGTAGTTTGTGGGAACAACAACTCTGGTGAAAGTTTCAGAATGATTAGTTCTTGTAGCTGTGTTCTTTCCTAGTCCACTTGAAACCTGTGATTCTTGAAAAGTCACCGTAAGCTAATTGTTTAAAATGCTTTGCATGACTGATCACAGGGATAGTGGTATCAATAGTTGTGTTTATGACAGGATAGAGCATACGATTGATGTGCTGTAGCACCTGGTGCTGAATCTGTCCTACTCGCTATCCTGCCATACATATGTGGTAGATTCTTTGTGTTGCTCAGGGTGGGGTTGGGGTCCAGGAGCTCCATGCATTTGACTGTATATTGATTAATTTTTTTTATATTATTCATATTATACCCTGCAATTTCCCTGGTACCATTCATCCCCTCCCCATCTATTGGGTCCAAGATTGTGGGCGCTGTATTCTGTTGCATTATTTCTACATATTTTGATAGTAGAGAAGGAGAAGGAATCCATTGATACCAGTATCATTGTGATAGGCCATGTGAAGGTATTATGAATATTTACTGGCCGGAAATCTAAGGGTGATAGAAAAAATTCATAGTATTGCTAGTTAAAAGCTGAAACTACAGTTATATGCTCTTCTACTTAACCTTTTTCTGCGCAAGTATGAACATTCACCCTTTTACATGACTTGTTACCAGGACTCGTAGCAGCTACAGATTGCCTGACTCATAAGACATTTATGGCAGTAAATATTTTGAAGTTTAATAAATTGATGACGTCTTACGTATTCTTGACAATAATTGGTGCCGGGAAATCGCACTGTCTACTGTCGTTTTCTTCTGTGAATTTTCTTTGCACATGGATGGCTCTTCCATGGATCCAAATTATATGCCTATGTGTTTTCTGCTGATTTCCCTTTTACTGGGGTTTGTGATTTTTTTTAATGCTGTTATTCTGATGATGATATTGCTGTTGACATTATGATTTGTGTAATGTTATTAACAAAACTAATAGCAATAAGAATAAAAAAAGAAATTGGAAAATCAAGGAAATGAGTAAACGGGAGTGTTGGCTAGTGAAAGGGTTTACAGTTTTGTGTCTGAAAAAAATTGTTACAGAATTGATTGGTATTTTAAGGTTTTGGAATTACTTGTTAATTGTGTATTACGAAGGAAATGCTGCTGTTGCTATGTTTCTTTATCATTGTTTTCTTATGATATATATACATGTAATACAATAAGAAGTTTTAGTTTGAAATGGTGTTGATAAGACCCCCAAAAACTATCAAATTGCTTGAAAGTCAGTATTTTCGAAGTCTCGGAAGATCATTTGCCATACTAGAGGTATCCTGATTTTCTGGATGATCCAGGCAAGCCTTGGATATGCGGGGAGAGAATTGCATGCAGTTTAACCACTTGGATCCAGATGCTTCACTGCCCAAAATATTAGCATTAAGCTCTCTTGAGTGTTCACTCTGATAAGTGTGTGGGTTGTAGGGGAGGCACACACTCTTGTGTCCTGACAAGACTCTTTCCCACCCCTTTGCAATGTTATTTTCTCATTTTCTGCATAAGCGTTTTTACCTTTTTTGCTATTTTTCAATGTCTTTATTTGTCATTTGATTTTCTTTATCCAGATGGTAATAAACAGTTTTTTCTTGCACAGACTCCACATCATCTCTCTTGGTAGTCCATAACTCAGCGCAATAATAACAACAATATGTAACATTTTGTTGTTTGTGTCATTTAAAATTTTTTCGTAATATTCAGTGTTCTATGATACAACCTGCACAACGGGCAAGAATAGGATGCTGAGGATAGAAATTGTCCTCGTGGAGCCTTCCTAAAAGCCCAATGAGTCTAATAACCCTGCAAGAGCTGTATGCACTCATTGCGAGTCATTCCCATCACTCCGACCTTTAGCTGAAATTCTCATGACGACAAGTTTGCATCACCCCAGCTCTGAGCCAAATTTCCTCTTGGCGTGATGCATGTTCATGTGGCCACCCCTCAAGTCAAATTTTTTCATAGGATGTGATGGTCATGTCATCTGGATTGCAGGAGTAATGAGGTTGAAAACTTTGTTTTCCAAACCGCAGGATAAAACCAAATTCTAAGTTGTATATGAATTGCATAGAATCAGCTGTAGTGTTAAGGCAATCCATTGTGATGGGATTTTGGTTGATAATGGTCTTGGTCTTTGGCCTCCCTCCCATCCTCTCTAGTAAGCGTGCCAGAAATTCCTGACCATGGATGGGCAGTCTGGGGGAGATGACAACCGAGGGGGAGAGAGCTGGCGAGGCGGCAGGACATATGATGCCACAAACCAGATCAAACAGCTCTTAGGAGTTCCGACTGAGGATTTGGGAAAGCCCATTGTGGATGCAGAACGCCGCACTCCCCCACAAAATATTCCAAGGAACAGACAGGTAGGGTGAGGCTCTGCAGAGTCTGCAACATCAGTGTTTTCTCTGCTCTGATGCAT